GAAATTCGCAGCTTGGCGTATCACGTCTGTACCCACAAGTTTATAGCTACAAATTAGAGATGAAGGATTAAATTCAGAACAAGGGCGACGCTGCTTTTAGATGTGAATGTGTAATTCTGCGCTAATATGATTGTTGAATTCTGTCCTACTTGTTGCAAAATGAAATTTTAATCAGATTGTGTCATGGCCTGCAGCTTTCATCGCCCTTGATTCAATTAAACGGTGGGGACTGTCCTGCGCTGCATCTTCACTACGAAATTACATCCGCAGATGACAGTCATTTCTGTGCTCAGTTACACGGTTACGGAAAGTCGTTCACTCAAGGAGAAAAATCATGAACATCGTTTCCTATCATAAGTTAATTGAATACGTTGGAGAGTGGCGGTAAAAGATGAGTAGTTGTGAAAATGATGTGTCAGTTTGTTTGTAATTTTGTAGACTGTGAATATGGCCCTTGTAGCCACAAAATTCACACGTCCATAGGAATCCAGTGGAATCTCGCTTCAAGATCTCCACATATCGCAACTGTTCGAACTTCATGTGATTTAAATACTATTTACAATTCTTTTATTCCTTTGTCCTTGCTATCTTTCTCTGTTCTTTTTCCCCTTCTTCTTCTTCTTCTTCTTCTTCTTCTTCTTTGTTACTTCTTCCGGTTTCGTTACGTTTCATTTCCGATTTCTCTTAACCTCGTTCCTCTTCTTCGTCTGTCTTCCTTGTCGATAGTCAGTCTTCTTGCCCATTATCTCCCATGATGGAGAGAGCTCAGTGGCAAATTGTAAATGGCAGGAGTCAAAACCGCTGTGCTTGTCGGTTACTCAGTTATTGCTGGTGTTTCAGTGGCTTCTAAACTAATTAATGACGACACTTTCACTCCGCTGTTCTGCATGGAGAGCATACCTGGCGATATTTATACTGCACGTCGTAAAGTAACTGTGCATATAGAGGCGTTTTGGATAATTTTTCTTTGTGTAATGATATTTTTCTTGCACAGGCAGTATGTAAAATTGTATGGTCTTTCACCTGATATTTGAAAATTGTAAGGAATTTTGCGGGTTAATTCTTTCCCTTTACTTGCACATCAGATTTTGATCTTCCGTTCATCTTCGTTTGGGTAATGAATGATTCACAGGACTTTCAGCGAATGACTGCGTAGAAAGTCCGGAGTTCCAAACAAATAATTTAAATTAAATTAGTAATAGGCTTATGTACTGTATGGCAAACATTTCATATATCGAAACCTAGTACTACTGGTATAATTTTGAGGTGTGTATTTTAGCATTATTATTAAAGTCGTATTTTAGCAACCACTGAGTTGTGCCATGTAGTCGTGTTCTTCCCTGAGAATGGAGGCGGTATGTTTCTCAGGAACATTTATAACCACCTACAATACTACACGATGTCACAACCCTATAAAACACAATCCACTTCTTTACGGCCGCCAGAGCATAAAATATTTTCACGCCGATATTTGACGAACACAAAATTAGAAGGTTTTATAAAATTGTACAATTATAATAAATTTTTTCATTACTTCTAAACGTGATTGCGTATTAGTAACTTATTTGTTTCTTCTTTCTGATAAATTTATCTATTTTCCTTTGCCATGAATTTACTGTAGAGGCGGAGAGCCTCAACCTTATGTCCAGAGGGCTGGCATTAACCTTTTTACAGAAAGTGTGCATCATGTTCCTTTTGAATGAGTAAAATGTGACGGAGTTAGCATATCGAGTTCTTTCAAAGATTGTCTTCCTTGTATGTTGTCAACTTATTCAATTATATTTTCTGGTTACTGAAGATGCCTGGGTGTTCTCATTATTTGTTTTTAATATGCCTGTGTATTATCCCCGAGTTCCATCTCGTGTAGCAACGTAGAACCAGTTTCCACCGTCTTTACACGTAGGTAGCGTGTGCTAATCCTGGAGGCTTCAGACTAGGCTGAAGTTTTATCGTGCTCTGGTATCCAAGCAAGCGTCCGCCTTAAGGATTTATATAATCCACACTTTTATTCACTCTGAAGTACCTCCCTTTCCAGTCGTCGTCATCATCCTGGGACATCCTCGTTACAGCGCTACCGCAGTGCAGCGTGGATTAGTTCTTCCCCATCGCTTCAGTAAGGTACAATCTGGCAAGAAAGTTGCCAGGTATGTAGGCAATTACCCAACTGTTTGGAAAATCTGAGTGGTCCTAATACATTAATATGCCTGTAATAATCTTTCGTAATGCAGGGAGAATTTCTCCGAGTGCTTTCACTGGGACTTCCTATAGCAGGACCTCATTTGTGTTTGTATACCACAATAAGCTTTAAGTTCATTCTGCCTACCATCATCATCATTATCATTATCCACTGTATGCTATCTTCGGGGGAGCATAATGGAAAATCCACTAACTGGGTCGTACTATGGGTTCCTACCTTCATCTTAGCCAGACGGACAGACAACAAAATAATCGAAAACCATATCTAAATTCCAAAGCCACAAATTCAACAAACACTTCGGGTGGTTCTAAAATACGAGACCCACGAATAACTATCATTATACCAATAGACATATAATGAAGTTTTCAGATACCTTGTTCCAACGGCACAAAAATGACTTTTGTCTGCCTGACATTCTTTAATTTTTTTAGCTATATAACTGGGAAAGTAGATATAGGTACACGCAGAACAATGATTTTTACGAACTAAGCACTAAGGGTATTGTTTTGCAGATAAAGTCATTTAGATGCGACTATTTAAAACATTGTGTCTTACGTTAATCTTAGTTTATTCAAATACGTAAAAGACTGTTTGTAAGAGATTGGATTTTGAAATTGGACATCTGTGGGCAATGTTGCTCCCAGAACAGGAAATTGTGAATTTGGGTCGGAGAAGCTTGATAGCAAAAGCAGAAATGCCTCGGGCTTAAGGAAGATTATAGAAAGTCGAAGTGAAGGTAAGAACTTGTCCATGTAGGTCCTGGTGTTTACTTCTTCATAGAATAAGGTAATTTCACTATCCTTATATTTCTCACTTCCAATTCGTAAGATATCATAATTGGAAATCGCTTTTTAAGTGCTGAAACAAGATAGTTGTTTAAATGAAATAGAAACTACAGAATAAAGAAGATCAGTATTTGTTTCTATTATTCTTCCCACCAAGTTTCGGGACAATGATCCATTCTGATTTCATTTTTCAATAAACTAACTTCACTAATATTCCATTATGTGAAATAACAGAATTTCATATATTTTTACTTCAGTAATCTAGTAATACGATTATAGTGTTCATTTCACAGAACAGGGAGATCTTGTAATATATTCGTCTTATTCTGTGTAAAGGTTCTTCTGCTTCAGAGAAAGTGGAGTGAAAAATACCGAATTTTATACAGTGGAAAACAAAGACGGAGATTTAATTAGTAAATTGATGTTTCGATATTATGAATCTCGTATTTCAGTAGCTGCTTCGTGAAATTTAGATTTAACAGGATAAGAAATGTGATGCCTGAACTACACTTAGTTAAAAACAACAGAGTATATAATTCGTTTATGGACGTTTCGGAGAACAGCTTTATTTCATTGTGTTTTGAATGGAAATATAATCTTTGAGATAGAGGCTTTATACCTGATCTCTTCTCCAGTAACACGCCCACCAAGAATACGGGACAACATATTTGTTTCTTCGGTGCGTGTTGATACTAGGCTATTCTGCACACTTGACAGGGTTTCGATTCTGCGATATTACCCCTCGTTCGTTCCAGGTTTAAGTATAGATCTGTTGTCTGTTACTACTCACGGATATTAATCAGCTTGTCAGATTAATGTTTATTTATTTCTCTTATAAATATTTTTCGTAACTGTATTTCATTGTGTTAATTATTTCAGTGATTGCATGCAATTGGATTCATCTTCTTTCGAACGGATTAAAGAAATAATTTAAATATCATTAAACTATAGAATTATTATCGTCATTGCCATTATAAATATTTCGATTAGGTAATGAAACTGACAGTATTCATTTAAGGAGTCAAACAATTTATGTTGCCTTATGTTATGGTTTATTAAATAAAGTATTTGATGTCTTTCACTCAGTGATTTGAAGGGGGTATGTATAACCTAACCTAACATTACCACGCGTTCAGGGGGCGAAGCAGGTAAGGCAGCTGGTGTGAGATGAAGTAATCGCTAAGAAGTTTTTCCCTGATTGGTTTCGAACCTTGAGTCTCTTGGCATTTTGACATTTAAAACATAATTATGAGTGGTACCAACACTGCTGGTAACGTTGTTTATTATGTGACCGCTGGTCTTCATAGATTCCATAATTTAAAGTTTTGACAATCTCTTTTCGCCGTAAGTAAAACAATTATTTTGGACATTGTTAGTCATGTGATGTTACACATGAATCGACACTAGCTACGTCCAGTTGAATGGAACTTTTGTCGTATGTTACCTGAGACTAAAAAGGTCCAGTTTACGATAAGTCGTTTTTGAAAACTTTTTAGCGATGTAAAGTGTCCAAGCGAATCGTATTAGGTTGCGGGTTATTTACTTCAGAAATTTTTTTTCCAATAAACTTGCCGATTTGCAATACTAGTGAATTTAAATTCAGTTAGAGAATCTAAGAATGTTTACACGAAGCTTACATGAAACACACTTCAAGGCTAGAATTTATTCTCTACATTCATTTGATTTTAATCCGATAGCGAGATCTTTACTGAATCAAAATTACATTTTCTACCGGATATTATAACTCTCACTCCCATCCAATGGAAGTTATTTAGGCAGTAAGTTAGCTGGTTCCACTTATAAATTTCTTTAAAAAGAGAAAAGATATTTCATGTGATAAGTTACCTAATTTAAATCTCAGAAAGCAGAGAATACGATGATGCAGGGATGTGGTAAAGTTATGTAAGTCCGATTTAATAGTATTTTCTATTATGTTTGTTTCCCATAAAGTTTGTATTTTATCTTGCGAACAATCTGTCCTACAACAGTATTTGTCTCTTAGTAGTTCTAGTAGTTAGATGGCTCTGGCAGTCAAATCAGGATTGAGTGGAAATTGTACAGAGTCAGTGGGCTGGTCACTCACTACTCTTAAATGCACGCTTTAAAGACTATGAAACCTCCGAAAGGAGACCTGTACTCCGGAAAAGATTGATAGGAAATAAGGAAAGAAGTTTTAGTAGTATTGTAACTGGTGTGGCTTAATTCATTGACAGGAGTACGTCTCGTTGAAAAATATTATTTTGTCTTTTATTTGACAATGTTTTTAGTATCTCAGACTATACAGCGTCGATTTATGAGAATGATGATTAAAGAATGAATTTGAAAGGAAGAGGTCCTGGCCAAATTTAAGGCATTACCTCGTAATGTTCCTTAAAAAACCACAGAAGACCTCAGTCTTTGGCCAGAAAGTTGAATCAAGGACCTCCCGGATACAAAACAAGAGTGTCAGAACTTGCCTGGGAGGTTCACGAATAGAACATAAATATTGACATCGTGCCATATATGTTTTATTACGTACAACGTAAACTCTTATTCTACACATAACTCGCAGATGAAATAATTTAGTCTAGGGGTTCTGAGTCTGCGCTGTATTATAAAAATATTTACCACCTGTTACAATCATTTAATTTTAAATAACCGAACGTCACGGTCGAATGGGGTCGTTGAAACATAGATAAATTTGTTTTAAGTTAATAGTTAATAAATGTAAAAAGTCAAGATATTTGTTGAAGAAAATTATTAGTTAATGTTACAAATTACGCATAAGATTTTAATAACAACTGTATGTTAAGTTTCAAATCGTTGTTCCTGTTTATAACTTGGCGGCCCACAAGTCAATAAAATATTAAGAATAGAGCATCAAGTCTTGAAAGGTGAAAACGCCTGATACTCGTCTGTACTTAGGCGGTAACATCGTTTCCGTTCCAGGAAAACTTATAAGCGTTACATCACTAATTATGAAAAGAGAGAGCTTGTTTTGCAATTCATTCTACACATTATATCAATAAAACGCTTTTATGCCAAAAAATTATGTTGACCATTTCAGCGAAGATGTTATTAACAGTCTTTACGCAAAAGTTTAAATTTACTGATGTGTAAACTCAACGAAACTTAAAAGCGAAGAACAAATAAAATAAACTCCCAGTGAAGTTTAAAGTAATGTATCTTTGGTCGTCATTAAGAAGAATTTAAATTAAACGGGCACCACGTTTTTCTGAAGCACCACACATCATAGGGTGTTTACATGCATAACGAACGCCATATACTTAAATACCACTGGCGTTGTCGTTGTAATACGTACATGTCCATAGCTTGTTGATTTACAAAATATGCAGATTCTTTGACACAGTATTTATTTATTAAAGCTTTCGGGAATGTGTAACAGACTTGAATTTGAGTGTATCAATTCTAGGGCATACGATTTTAAGTGGTCCATATGAACATTTTCCTGTTTAAAAGAATATCTTCCAGTTCCATATAGACATTTTTACATGTTATGGTAAATATAAACTATGTATTACCTCAGTGTAGGCCTATAATAAGTATGTCGTTCATAGTACATACTGCTGATTTATCTCGAAACTTTCTTCTGTAGGATATGGATAATTAAACTTTCTATGAATTCCTGCTACCTTATCTGCTTGATTTTATGACTTTATTTATAATCAGCTCTATAGGTCGTGTAGCTTCGACAGATAAACAATCGAATCGTCTTGAATTTTCTTTGCAGTGAGGGAAGGAGGGAGGTAGGGTATTCAGCTGCCATGACACTGATCGAGGTTGAACGCAATTGTGACTTGCTTTCATGAAGCGATACTTGATTCGTATCGGTAAAAGCTTGTAGCGCTTGTCAATGAGTCATGCGTTTCCAACTGGGAGCCGGAAGTGACAGTTACATTAAATTTCATCACTGAACGCACTGCAGTCAGGACATTGATGGACTGCACACGCATGTAAAATGGGGGAAATGAAGGCATGCAGGATTTTCTTGGATAAAATCCAAGGATATCTATAAAATTTTGGGTTCTGCTACCGCAGTATTGTTTAACACTATAATGCTGATTTTTGTTGCAGTTCCGATTGTGGATGTGCGGGGAGTGCTTGGTAAGAAGACGATGATGCCTTGCGATATCACGCCACGTGATCGTGATGATGCTGTCTATATGGTGCTCTGGTTCAAGGAAGCGGATGGGGAGCCTTTGTACAGGTGAGTGATTCGGTATACGGAACATAGAGACCGTCAGTGTTGTTGACTTCGAGATGCGGGAAGGATGTGAGACACCAGCTTTTCTTCAAATTTCCTCATAATATGACTTGGGTGAAGTCGATAACTTGAAATTAATTATGTTTTTCGTAAATTGATTAAGGAACGCAATGCTTTTATCTGTCACAAATTTTCCCCGTTCTGGGATGGCTTTTCAAATGAAAGGAGTATCGTATTTAGAATGATATTATGGAAATTGGGCAGGAGACTGTGGGTTGGATTCATCTGGTTCAGGAGAAGGACTGTTGGCAGCCTCTTGTGAACACGGTTATGAACATTCTTTTCTACAAAAGGCGGGAAATTTTGACTACCTGAGTTTCGTTTTCGCGTAACAAAACGGACTCTGCACGATGGAATTAATTAGTTGGTAAGTTGGTTGGTCGGTAAGATAGTTAGTCAGGCAGTTTGTTGGATAGTTAGTTAGTTATTTAGAGTATCCGCAAATTGTTCCTTATTTGCGTCCAGTAGACATTATCCTGTGTTATTTACAACCACCTTTCTTAGATTGTGTGGTATCTGCAAGACCTTTACATCCCCAAGGCGTTCTCGTTTTAATTGTTACTTTGGTCATCTTGGTTGTTTTGGTTGCCTGGGGAATCCCCACTCAGCCGCACAGTCAAATTTGTATATGATTACGTCATTACTCAGGCAGACAGGTGATACACACCCGCTTATTCGCTCATTGAAAGGTCGTTGATATTATACAACTTCCATCATTTGTACCATTCCCAAATTTTAAATTTCAAATTGTGACAAAGTGCGCTTATATTTCTCAACTAGTTTAATTTCTGTCAATTCGTATTTGTGCTGTACGTCGTAATATTTTATAGCTCAATAAGGAACATACAAAGCGTTTCTTTTACACATTTGCTGAAAATGCAGTTATAAAGTCGAAGAGGCACAGGAATGATCGCGCTTTTTTGAGGTCCGGCCAGGCAATCACCGCACCACAACCGTGCGTGATTCTCGTCTGTTTGGGCTTTTGTTCGTACCTTTATCATGGTGTTTAACTTGGGAGGGGCAATGCATTGAAATGTTTCAACTTAGCATTCGTCGTAAGTTGGCTACTGTGTGTTCCAGGAAGTCTTTTCTAAAACCAATCCCGTTCTCTGCGCTATCTCTGTATTGTGGCGTGGAAATTATTGAAGAATCAGGTCGGTTCCTCCCATTGCATGCAAACCCTCGACCCTTACGTCACCGTAGGCGCTAGATTCTCATTCTGTTGGATTTCTCGGCTATGTTTGAGAGAAAATGGAAGTTAAGAGACTGCGATTTAGCAGCACATAGCTGCTACTAGCATCGGGGTTGCAGCTTTTATGATATGAAAGTATTTGTTTTTTATCTTAAAACGTAATATATTTTATAGTATGTCTAAATATGTAATACGTTTTCATTAGATGACAGATTATGCTATTGGAGTAGTGTTTTACGTAGTTTTATCTATTCGTTCAGAAGAATATTAGAATATTATTTTTTTAATATTCCACGGTCAATATTTACAGCACGTTATATTCCCTCGTATTGTTTATGTGTGAGTAACTGAAGCAAGAATTAGTGGGACCCTCACATCACCGAAGTCCGTCATTTGTTAGTTGTTAAGTTACAGCGAGTTTAAACGCAGATGAAAGTTGTAAAATGCTTTATGCCATTCACTTTTTAATGTTTCTTGTCTTGTTTTGAGTTACAACGTCAGCTGTTTCGTATAGATATCTCACCTTTATTAAGGCTATGAATAGAAGTTGCTAGACAACAGGCTGATGACAATATTTTTATCTACGACAGAAAAAAATAATTGGAAGTTTGGTAAAACGGCATCAGGACGATTTTATTATTTGTGTTCAACATATATTAATACAGTAACCAAATAAGGGAAGAATTAAATATTGAAACGCAAGTAATATTTGTATTGTTCTTACATAAACAATGGTTACTGATGTAAAGCTTTATAAGGGTAAGAAAGCGTGAAAATTACCGAAACAGCACATTTAATGTTACCGGAATGCATCGGACAGTAGCCAGAAACAACGACTATTAACACCAAGGCAGTAATAATACTTATGAGGTTGTCATTAAAGCAACGACGATGTAAAATGTGAGAATGTTGACTGTAGAATATTTAAAAACATCTCTGATCCGCTTACACTAATTTCATATTGAAGAATGTGAGCTATTTTTGGCTTGTAGAATAAAGCCTGCATTTAATTCAAGGGCGTTTTGCGTTAACGTTTGTCGGTGTGTGGCAAAAAACAATTTTTGCTGCGATATTACACAGGTTAAGCAACTTGCTGCTTCTTGTTTTTAGTAAAACTACTAAGTTCTTGTGGAGCCTGGAGCTTACATGTAAATCAGCTTATGTTTAAATCATAATAAAGCGTTCACTACTGCATTCGCCTGTGAATATGAACTTAGTAACATGCAGAAAGAGCAGAGTCTGGATGTTCATAAAGTTCAAACCTAACTAATGAACTAGGCCTAACTTTACCCGTTTAAAGAAAAAGTGAAGAAAAACATAAAGTTTCTGCAAGTCATGAAATTAAGTTTGAATTTAATTAACAGGAGCTAGATGTATGTGGCCAGTCCAGTGCGATGGGGTAATTTAAAATACGTTGTCAGTATCAGACGAAAATTTCACGACTGAAATTAATTAAACTGAAATATAGAAACAAGACACGTTACGTTTATCTAGATATATTCTATTAACGAGAGGTATCAAAAACAAGCAGGTTCCGCTTGGAGACAAAATGCTATTGTGTTTATATCGGTTCATTAGAACAGCATTTTCCACACCGAACGTCGCGTAGGAGTGGTTAGCAGTCCTCCGTATTCAAGAGATTCTCGTTCAAATATCGGCAAGGAAACCGAATATTAAGATTATAGTTGTTTTTGATTTTCAGCAAATGCTGGGACAGCAAAGGCCTTTCACATCATTCCCTTTCCGTCATTTTCATTCTTATTAAAATCTGACGCTGTATACAAAAGTGAAGCTTAAAAGCGTCGTTAAAATCCGAGAGTCAATCAGTGACACGAGTACTTTCTTAAATAGTAAAAATTGAAGTATTTGTTGACAAATGTCGTGGACTACAACCTTGATGAAAACGTTAAATATTAACATTCTCACTTTTGAACTTCTATTACAATATCGTTTATTACATTCATGTTACGGAGTATAAGTGCAGCTTTGACGAGGCTGTTGTAATTAACAACAGGCTGAATGACCTCTTAGTATAGGTGGTGCAACTACAGCTCGTGGAGTGGATATATGATCATACTTATTGCTGCATGTTGTAAATCTCATTTCCTACTCTGTACCCTTTGTGTACTGCATGTTACATAGTACAGGTAAAGCTCTGACGAGACCGTGTTGAAATTCGCCACAGATTTCATGGCTTCTTATGTTCGAATAGTGCCACTACAGACCTTCGAGTGCAGATATTACAAGAGTGTTACTGCATTCGGTAGATTACATGACCTGCTCTCTACTGCGTATCATGAAGTACAGCTCTGATGAGGCTTTATCCGGAAGTGCCGTGTTTCCTGTACGTTATGCAAGCCGTGGTGCTTCCGACACTAGCGCCAACGTCCTGCGTGCACATTATGTATAATGCAGACATGGCGCTCGCCGGACACATGAATCGGCAGTTGATATCTCTCCTGTTGAGAGACGTTCCAAATAATGGAACGTTCAGCGTTAGTACGGTTGTTAAAGTTCTTTCCAAATGTCCTGACTGCAATAAGGAACATATATCAAAGAAATTAAATGTTTAAATCGTCGGGGTTTGTTTTTGGGAAGACCGTTATCATAGGTCTTGCTTCGGTTTCAACTTTGTTGAAAAGCTTAGGACATTTGCGTTCGCCTGTATCGATTGACATGCCTTTATGTTTTTTGACTCACAGTTAATTCCACACATATATTTAAAATGTTTCAAGGAATTAAGAATTAAAAATCGTTTACAGATATGAACCAGTAATTACCTCGCTTTAAATAATTAGGTGTGCAAAATTGTGTTACGAACTGATTAATCTTACTTGTAGTCTATGTTATTCCTACTGTAGAACCTGTGTCTGATATAATATATTTTTGTAGGATTTACCTAAACACTAGCATTCATTTCCAGAGCTGTGAGGTGTCCGTCCTGGAATCTTCAATTTCTTTATTTTGCGAGTACCGGACATAGAGTGACGATATCCTTTTCTCCAGCAAGTCCGTCACAAAACCGTACAGCGCCGTAGCTCACACTTATTTTCCGGACATCCTCATAAGATATTAAAAATTGAATTTTTAAATTGGAGTCGGCCTGTCGCTGTCGTTGTCGTTGAAGTTTAATTTCTTATTACAGTCAGACCGGTTTGAAATGATAAGTGTGGCTATTAAAATATGGAACAGTGCTAATGTATAAATCATTGTTTCGTTTGTTGTCGCGAAATGAGAGTCATAATTAAGTTATAAAACTGTGACGTCAGTGGCAAGCTTTGTGACTGAATATGTTATTACAGCAGCTTTGAAATTCTGTTCGTGAGATACATATTTCGAATGTCGGCTGGGACACTTTCTTTAATGACAGGTTCTTGTGCGTTTTCGAAGCCTGTTGAAGCGAATTCCATAGAAACACTCTTAAATAAGTAACTACTTCGTCTCTGAACCATTAAGGAGTCGCCTTCAGTGATTGTCTCATAATTTTATTGGATGTAAATATCATTAGAGTGACTGAAATCAAAATGCCTTTATTTTTTAAGGCAATGGTGAAGACGTTTAAAGTTTGAAATATTTATAAATATATAAAAAATTAATTTTAATAGAGGAATGGCTATAGAGGAACGAAAATACATAATGTGAAATAAGTATTTTTCCGACGTCACCATCAACACACCCTCTTTATTACAAATGTAATGTCGTTGAGCTTCATGTTTCAGCCTGACAGTACCATCTTCAGGTGCATTTCTTAATATTAAACGGCTATCTAACTAAGACCTCTCCAAAGATCATGAAGGTAGTTTATTTGTGGCGACATATTCCTGCATACTTGGACCGAATAATGTGGTCAGTGTAATTAAAGCCGGCCATTATACTAATCGATGCACACGAGCTTTCATAGTCATCGGCGCAGAGAGGGCGTGTTAGACCTGTTAGCACATACGAACAACTTCACGCATATAAAGAAGTTACTCTGTAGAGCTGTTTAATAAAACGGGTAATTTCAAAACACGATATGGAGGACGTAATACCTTGACATAAAAGTTTTCGCTCTGATTCTTGAAGTTAAACTTTATGTACGTTGACGACTAATAAGAATTTTGAAGTAAATCGGCCCTACGAGCATAAATGTTGACAGTAAACACTTCGTGATGTGACAATAGAGTATATAAATGTTTATATGTGCCGTATTGTCACTCAACGTTCATTTTTGTCTGAGACAGTTTTATTTGTTACATCTAAATTTGTAGTCTTGCTGTGCAGACCAGTTGGAAGTAACGCGACGCTATAAAGTTCATCTAAAAATACAAAGACACTTGAATAAAGGAAAAGGCTAATAATTGAAGGAGTTTTTGTGTTTGGTATTTTCATAAGCTGAGGTTTATGTCCCTTCGTTCACTGTTGCATATACTTACGTCTTCCATCATTAACCTATAGACAATATATCAAGAAATTGACGCACGCGAAGCTGCCATGGCTTGAGATTAGTTCAGACAGGATGTCCAACAGACACATTTTCTGTTCTCATCCCTTTTTCTACCTGATGACGAGAGCAGAATGTAGTTTTCGAAAGGTGGTTTTTTTAAATTAAGACGACGGACATTGTCCAAAATAACACTTTTACTCAGTACAATAAAACATTTGATTATCATCTTTTATTGAATTGTGTACTTTGGAAAGCAACAGCAAAACCAGCACGCAATATTCTAGATGAACATTAATATTCGTGTCACAGAACTTCTTAGTTGCAAGAATATTTATGAGGTGAAATAAAGATTTTTTTGTCTCCTTCTGTTGAACAGTTTCGATGTGCGAGGGCGTCAGTTTGGTCAAGCGAGATTGTGGTCTGCGCCTTCGGCGTTTGGTACCAGAGCGTACTTCAGGACAGCGTCCACTCCGGCCCAACTCCTAGTGGATGACGTCGCTCTCTCTGACGAAGGGATGTATCGGTGTCGAGTGGACTTCCGCAACACCCCAACACGAAATCTCAAAATAAACCTAACCGTCATCGGTGAGTTTGTGTTTGAGTTTGCTGTAGTTTACGCCGCTCACCTCTGTTCTCAGTCTTTGTGTCTTTTCGTCGTAAAGAAATTCTAATGAAGGCAAATAGTCTTTGTGAAGCAGTGCTTCATACATTCCTCAGTCTGGCTTCTGAGAAACAGAAAATGGCTTCTTCAAATATGCCTCCTATTTTAGTATTTGTTTTAATTTTCTCTAAATGTCAGAATAGAAAGACCTCGTCATACTCTTCTTTCACAACTTCATACACGTGCACTTTTCACGAAATTGTAAAAAAGAATTACAGACGTATTTACAAGTGTAATGAAGCAGTTTGTAAATTAAATCAGTGATAATCTTATTGAACACC